AATGAAAACCAATGAAATATGGTTTCTGGCATGTTGCTATCTTGCTCAGTGAATGCTTCTGAAATGAACATTCTTCTCCCTCATACAAACCTTAATGGAATGGCACATCACACTTTTGCAGGCTTAATGTAGCTAGAAGGATATGATCCCCTTAGTGACTTTGGAATAACCAGGAGAGAAATACTCTCACTGCAGGTGAAGGACTGCAGTGAGAGTGAGTTTTCACTTACTCAGGGTCCTTACTAGCATCCTGCTTCCAAAACTTCTGTCTACTTTAATTTGTCTAACCTTTTTTGCTCATCTCTTCTGTTTACTTTTCTCTCAATGTGATTCCCTAAATCATTAAACTCCCCCAGATATCTCAGTAAAAGGGTTCTCCCATCTCTCCCTTCACACCTTCTGGGTTCTGTCTGCCCACACTGATACTGTGGCCCTCAGCCAGCTCTGTCCTTCCCTACTGCTCATTCTCTGGATTGTAGCAATGTAGATAAGCATGGGTATGCATCCTTGAAAGTCCTTCCTAATGCCCATGTTTATGGAGGTAATATGCAAGTTCCATGTCCATGGAACTTGGCACACTGGTAGCCCAGTTCTGGTGGACCTCCCCTTTCTGGCTCTATGCACCTTGTACTGCTTTTGCACTTGACCATTAATTTCTTATTATTATTTGGATTAAATTCCCAAGCGTATCAAAATGACACTGTGTAAACCCTGAAATCATGCTGGGCACAGGAAATGGCAGAAATTTTTCTGGTGAGAAATAATTAGTTCATATAATTTTATCTGATGTTTTGTTGCTTATTAGTGGCTGTTTTATTAGATTCTTGCTAAAAGCAGGTGGCTGCTGTCTGCTTTGTCTCCCACTGGAGCTGTCTGTTTTAAACTCTTTCAAGTTGCCCACTGGTTGAAGCTTTCAGCAGAGTCAGAGTGACTGGCTAAGGGAATCCCTCTGTGTGTGGGAGTCTGGAATGCAAATCCAAGTGGTACATGCTGGAGGGAAGATGACTGCAGAACAAGCAGGAAGAAAATTCCAAGTAGCTTATTTTACATATAGATGCTTTTCTTATTCTAGCAAAATTTCTTTGGTGCAGAAGAAATATACCTATCTGTGATAATATAGTTCTACCACATGACAGACTGCTGCTCATCAGACTGAGACATGCTTATTTTCCTTTCTTTTAAAAGAAAAAAGATCTAACTTGCCAGTTGAATGTTTTTTGAGTTATTATATTTTCTGTATGTAAAGTAGTAACAAAGCAACCAGGGTATAAGATAACATGTTCAGTCTGCCATAATCAGATGGGACCAAATGTATTCTTGGTACAACTCTATTAACTTTGATGGGCTTACAGGAGAGAAAAGTACAGCCCATTGACATTAAGGTGGAAATTTTTCCTGGATAGAGAGCTGCAATATCTCTATAGGAAATACTGATGAGATTGTTCCATGTCTTGGAGGCACAGTCATTACAATTAATGAAGTGAGTCTATATGATATACAGCATTTTGTTGTATGTATTTTTTTTCATTTAGCAGGCTTATACTACGTTTTTACATGTACTATTTCTGTTCAAGAGTAATAGCTTTGATTTCATGCTCTCACTGCTCAGTGTGCAGTCTCTGGACTGAACAGTAGAAGTGTTTCTAAGGAAATAACACAACTAGGGACAGTAACTGCTAAACAAATGGTACAGGTGGATGTGATTTACTGCTGACCAAGTCTCATTTGAACTGTTTGGCACACCTCTAAATTAACTGAACAGATGGTTTTTTAATTAGTTCTGTCATTTCATTTTCTGCATTCTTAATACATGTCAGGCTGCATGTCAGGGAGTATTAGCATCAATTTCAAGTGATAGAAAAATATTCATAGCAAGAATAAGCTGATAATACCAATAACAAAACATAATTAGAGTACAAATTGGAGGTCTGCAGCTTTATAAACATGGTAAACCTAGATTTATGAGACTTCAGAGATTTGTTCAAAATGAGAAATGCCTTAAACTTGCTGCAAACCAATTAGTCCTGTGCAGACCTAGAGCAGGGTTTTCTGGCTTCCTGCAGTGGGATAGGCCTCACTAATATGAATTGCCTGAGAAGAGTTCTTGAATTTATGCATTTGATTTATCTGTTTCCACCTTCCCCAAAGGGCAGAATCACTTCCCAAGCACTGAAGTGTGTTTTAGCTTCAGAGATGGCAGTGAAAGCTTTACTTAGTCTCTCCTTCGGACCAAAGTGATATTTGTCCAAGTGCAAAATCCTTTCTTTGCCATTTCCAGCCAGGGTAGTAGAACTGTTTCCAAGGGAAGGCAGCAGCAGAATTTGGTTCAAGTATAGTAACATGGCAGAAACTGTTACACTTCCATATGAAATTAAAATTGTAGTGATTTCTCATGAAAAAAGCAACACATTACAATATAGTTTTATTAGGAAAATCTTTCAGGTGTTGTGTATATGATGGAAGTTAACAAGATAAAGTGGAATCTACATAAAAACAAATTCTACATGACTATAGAAATAGAATGTCACGCTGTTCATATAGCTTAAGCTGCAAAGATTGCTTTTTATGCATTTGTAATTCTCTGGCAAACTAGATAAAGCACTCATTTCCTCCAGATTTAACTCTGCAGGAAATACCTAAGAACTATAGCAGGCCATATATCCCAAGCAGAATCAACATCTAAGTTAAAGCAAATAGCTTTAATCAGAGACTTTTAAAATGCATTCCTCTTTGGATTTGCAGAAAATAAGTAACATGTAAACAAGCCTAATTTCCAGCAGCAGGATCCTAGAGGAATTGAATGGGAGAGTCCTCAGCAAAGGGACGTAATGATGCTTGGTAGCCTACCCATCCCTTGACACATTTTCTGGAATATTACACAATGTACACATAGTGGGAAGTGCTTTATTTAATACACAACATAAAGGTCTGGTACACTTTTATTTATAAATATCTTATTTTGATGTCTTACTGCTTAAAACACCCACAAAAAAGTGTTGTTTTTGTTTTTTTCCCAAGAATAAGAGAAGTATATAAGCCTGAGTGACTTTATGCAACTGCAAGCTTATTACCTTGTTTTCTTATTCAGTCTTAGCTCACTTGCTGTCTTTTGAGCAAAATCTTCTCAGCATCCCATGAAAAGCAATTGTCAGCAGCAAAGTTTCTACAGGCAGAGCAGGCAATATACTGTATAAATGAAATTGTGGTTAAAGTCACATCTCCATTTCAAAACTGAGCGAATACCAAGGCCTTTCCAGTATCCTAATCAGCTTGATGGCGTAGGTGGAAAAGCAGAAGCCCAGCCGGAAACGGGTGAAGAACTGCAGGCATTTGAGGTGCAAACTGCCGGGGGGGGCCTCGCTGGCAATGAGCTTGAAGAACTGGGTCTCTGCCACAGCATAAGTCTCAGGCCAGGTTGTTCTTGGGGTGTGGGCCTCTCTAGGCTGGCTGCTCACAAAGATGTCTGAGTCGTCTCTCCGCACTCCAAACCACATCTCAATCCTGAAGCTCTCTTCTCCGTTGGTCACCTTGAATTGGCAGGAGCGTCTGGAGGGCAGCAGTGTTAAATGCCAATTGTGTGACTGAGGCAAAGCTGGCCAGATTGCTCTCACCAGTTGGTGGAACCAGCGGGCCGTTTTCTGCACGTCGAGGTAGGAGCCGGTGCACAGGGTGTCCAGGAGGCTGGGATCCTGATTCCTCCTCAGCTCCTCCTCAGGGTGGTGCAGGAAGCACAGCATGTTCTCCCCCTGCTGCTCCCTTGTGCAGGTGCACTCCAGCTGCACGCGGACACGGAAGTTCCTCACCTGTCTCTGCCCTGCAGTGTCCAGCTCCAGGTGGAAGCTGTGGCCTCGGGGAGGAGTCATGGGTACAAGCACGCGGTAGACAACATCCTGCTCACGGGGACTCCAACCTTCAAAGGC